ACATAGTTGTCAGGATACGATCCTGACAGATAGATTGGTGTGTCATAGAAATGACACTAGAAATGATAATGGAAGTTTAGATGGAGAACAGTAGGGGACCAAGGACAGAACCTTGGGGAACGCCAACAGAGAGGGGTTAGGGAGAAGAGGCAGAGCCAGAGAAAGAAACACTGAAAAAGTGCTGGGAGAAGGAGGAGGAGCACCAGGAGAGAGCAGAATCTCGTAGACCGAAGTAAATTGTTGATGATCAACAGTGTCAAAGGCAGCAGATAGATCAAGGAGAATTAGGATAGAGTAATGGCCCCTTGATTTAGCAGCGATTAAATTGTTGGATACTTTGGTCACAGCTGTTTCAACAGAGTGACGAGCACGGAATCCAGACTGAAGCGGGTCAAGCAGAGAAATGGATTTGAGGACGTCTGTCAATCTTGCATACACAACTCTCTCAATGATCTTGGAGGCAAACGGCAGTAGCGATATAGGGCAGTAGTTGAATGGGAAGTTGAGGTCAAGGTTGGGCTTTTTTAGAATTGGCTTTATGGTTGCATACTTTAAGGGTGAAGGAAATGTGCCAGAGGAAAGGGAAAGATTGAACATTTTAGTGAGAGGAAAAGCAAGAGTGGGAGATAGAGTGCGGATGAGATCTGAGGGAATAGGATCGAGGGAACAGGTCCGGAGCAGAGCAGAAACCTTTTCCGTTGTAGTAGGTGCAAATGAGCATAGAACAGTGCAGTGAGTGGGGTTGGGTGATGTATAGGAAGATGTATTGGGAGGGGAAGGAGAGAGGTTAGAGATCTCTTCCCCGATTGTAGAAATCGTCTCAGTGAAGTGAGCTGCAAAGTTTGAGGTGGACAGGGTTGTAGGAGGAGGGGGAGCAACAGGATGAAGGAGAGCATTAAAAGTGTGAAATAGGCATTTCAGTTGGCGGGACAGTGTGCTTATGAGGGTGTTGAAATAATTTGCTTTTGCAGAGGAAAGAGTCAGAGTGTAGGAGTGCAGCATAAATTAATAGTCAGGTGCCGAGTGAGACTTCCTCCAACAGCGTTCAGCAGTTCCAGAACATTTTTTTAGATATCAGGTCAGGTTTCTGCAAGATTGGAGAGTTGAGGGTGGTGAAATTTGGGTATAGGGTGTGCCGATGTCAAAGGTCAGCAGATGGTGGTCAGATAGAGGAATTGGAACATTGGAGAGATTAGAGGTAGTACAGAAATTGGTGAGGATGAGATCAATAGTGTTTCCTGCTGTATGAGTTGCTGAAGTAGACCACTGTATGAGGTTACAGAGAACAGACGGAGACATTAGGGAAGTCGAGGTTGTTGATTGGGATGTCAAAGTTCCCAAGTATGAGGGAAGGAGTGCTAGAGGAGAGAAAGTGGGGGAACCAGGAAGAAAAGTGTTTAATGTATAGCCTCGGATGACCGGGGAGAAAGAAGGGGTGGCAATTCTTAAAGGAGTGGGCTTATATATGTGGACAGTGTGAACTTCAAAGGAAGTAAAGGATGGGGCAGGGATGATCGGTTGATAGGTACATTGAGGGGAGAGAAGGATGCCCACACCGCCACCTATACAGTTGAATCTGTGCGTGTGGGAGTATTGTAGTCCACCAAAACATGAAGCTGGAGTAGCGGTATCAAAGGAGGAAAGCCAGGTCTCAGTGAGTGCAAGAAGTGTGAGGGAATTAGAGATGAAGAACTATGTGTATAGCTGTTGATTTAATATTGCTACAGATGGAACGAGCGTTCCAGACTGCACAGTGAATGTTGGTAGAGAAGGATAAACTGCAGGGTATTTGGATGAGGTTTGAGTGGTTTCTAGTTGGTTAAGTGTGAGCAGATGAGGTGAATGACTCTAGGTTGGGAGAGATGTCACAAGCTGCTAGAAGCAGTAGGAGAGATAGTGACAGGAGGTGTGAAATGGGTTTTATATGGGCGGGGTCCAGGATGAGATTGGGTGGTTGCAGGAGAGAAAGAATAGAGAAACGAGTGCAGGGCATGACACGAGAGAAGGGGTGAGTGTAGCAGAGATGGATTAATGTGGATGTGATTGTGTTGTTGAGGGAAGTGGGTGTAAGGAGATATTTTGATGCTGAGGGAGAGGAGAGAAAGGGAAAAGAGGAAAAGGATAGAGCATTGCTCAGATAAGTAAGTACTTTGAGAAAAAGCAGAATGGGCAGAAGTAAAGAGAATGAGGACTGAGTGTTCATGGCACTGCAGGACCCTGTAGTGCCCCTCTCCCTCCCACCCCCATCCCAAGTTGCTAAAGGAGTTAAAAACCCTTCAGTGACTTACCGGAGTCCAGCACCGATGTCCTTCGGTGCTGGTCAGGCTCCGCCTACTCTCCTCCCCCAGCGGGGGAAACCTAATGCGCATACGCAGCAATGGCCGTGCACGCGCATTAGACCTCCCCATAGGAAAGCATTATTCAATGCTTTCCTATGGGGATTTCGGCGACAGTGTAGGTCCTCACATAGCGTGAGGACGTCCAGCGTTGCTTAAAACACTTTTCGTGTTCTATGATCACGGAAGTCCCTTAAGCCACTAGAGGAGGACTTGACCCTCCAAGGTAAATATTGCAGTTTATGAAAACTGCAATAATAAAACCTGCAGGGTTAAAGGATCACTATAGGGTCAAGAACACAAACATGTATTCCTGACCCTATAGTGTTAACACCACCATCTAGCCCCCCTGCCTCCATAAATATAGTAAAAATCTTACTGTATTCAAGCCTGAAGCTGTAAATTTGCATGCTGTTAAACTCAGAAAAACAAGCAGTCTGCTGACATGTGGTAGCCTGATCAAATTACTGTGCTTCCCCATAGGATTGGCTGAGACTGACAAAGAGGCAGCTCAGGGGCAGAGCCAGCATGATTCAAACACAGCCCTGGCCAATCAGCATCTCCTCATTGAGATGAATTGAATCAATGAATCTCTATGAGGAAAGTACAGTGTCTGCATGCAAAAGGAGGAGACACTGAATCACAGGATGCTGTGCACAGTGCTGCCCTGTGCTCTGCTGACAGCAGATCTGAGTGGATGGAGGCATTTTATGCCTCCATCAACTCCGAAGTCCCTCTGGTTCACTCTGAGTGACTGCAACTGGAGGTGTTCCTAGCTTTCAATGTAAACACTGTATTTTCTCAGAAAATACAGTGTTTACATGAGAAAGGCTGCAGGGAGCTATATTTCTCACCTGAACAACCTCATTAAGCTGAAGTTGTTCAGGTGACTATAGTGTTCCTTGAACCCCTTAACCCCTTAAGGACCAAACTTCTGGAATAAAAGGGAATCATGACATGTCACACATGCAATGTGTCCTTAAGGGGTTAAGGACACATGACATGTGTGACATGTCAATATTCCCTTTTATTCCTGAAGTTTGTCCTTAAGGGGTTAAGGGTAGTGGGAGTTGGCACCCAGGCCACTCCAATGGGCAGAAGTGGTCTGGGTGCCTGGAGTATCCCTTTAAGGGGGTGTACGGGTGTGCTGATTGCAGGTAGTGTTTTCAGCTGTCATTTCTAATTATCTAAAATTGTATGTGAGATTCTATCTATAAATGGAATAAAGAGCTTGGGGTGGGGTGGGGTGGGATGGGGTGGGGAGGGGAGGGGAGGGCTGTGTGGGTAACTGGTTTCCAACAGGGATCTTTTTAACTCAGACATATATTTTTGTGCACGGGGCAACAAAAGCCATATCTTGTACTTGGTACCTTACCATACATGTAGAAATATACAACATCCGGTTGTGGTGTGCCGAAACCGACGTATCGGTAGGCCTGTAATTAAAGTTGGCAAAAAGGATGTGCCAAAATATAATTTATTTAATCAACAATCAACATCATTACAACTGTAGCGGAACGCCAATATTAAATCCACGAATTCCGCTGGTCCAGAAACGAATCCACAGTCAAGCGCTGAAAACACCAAGGCAATATCCCCAACCTCCCAATAACCGGACGAGACACAGTTTTGGGAGTCAACTGACAATCCTTTAATCGGCACGACAATTTATACAAGTCCCCATGCAAGGGGTTTCCCGAGTCCCTTCCCAGGGGCATTCCCAGAGGGGACTACATGGGGGACTTACAGTATAACATATTTCTCCCATCAGGCACCGCTGCACGAGAGGGATCATCCTCCCAGAATGCACCGTTAAGGGGATTATCCCCTCGTGCAGCAGAACCGGCAATTCATACAAAAATACATAACTTTTAAAATACACGGTGGATTTACACGAATGGACGTTCGGTAGTTAGCTGGGGTCTGGGCGCATCATTCGTGAGATTGCCGCTCAGATCCCAGCTAAAATAACCGAACGCCGCACAGAAAACACATTTCTTTCCAAACACACGAAAAGAACCGATTACTTTTAGTGAACCTGGTTCTGAAACTCCCGAACGTCCTGGAGGCTCAGCGGTGTTCGTGCCGTCGAATAGCTATTGGTAATGCTATGCGTTCGACAACACGGACCCGCTGAGGAACAAAGGATCCAAGATGGCCGACCGCCGCATGGTCGGTAGTCGAACGACGGCCACCCAGGAGAGCCTCTAATTACCGATTGCAACATTGTTGCAATCGGTTAACTAGCGCCACACGCCTCTAAGTGTGTGGGCTATTAGGGGGTGTCGCGTTCGTTTCACGAACGGCCCTCCAAAGTGCCGTTCGTGAAACGAACGAGAATCCCCATACAAACCGCCACTGGCATTCGGCGAAACCAGTAATTACAGTCTCCCCAGAAATACATCCAGCACATACATAGGAATACAACGCATCTCTCTCCAGACCTGTAGGCAACCCTTAAAGGCACAGTCTCTAGTTATTGTCCAAGTGGCTAGGTTTGCCACAACAACATAGAATATTAAAACGCTAAGTGTTGCAACGCTTGTCTAATTTTCTTCTCTGGTTGAGGAATGTATCGACAGTAGGCTGTGGATTTCCAGCCCACCAATGATTTAACAATATGGGCAGGAATGTTCCTGTTGGAGGCTACAGAGGCCGCACCTATCTCATTAATAGGATTCTGACATAAAGCATGAACTTGGTTGTAGTGAGAATGGCCCACTGTAAGGTAAGTAAAGGTTGACTTGGGGGTGATTGTAAGTTGCCTAGGTATGTATCTAATGTCTTTACTGGACACCATTTATTAAATGTAGGGTAATAAGGAACTTTTACTGTTTAACCTGGTCGACTGGTCTTGGTATGTTGCAGAGAAAGTACATAGTGGTCTTGATGTTTGGAGACTTGTGATATTTTAAGGCATGGCCCTAATTCAGAAGTGTTGATGGTAGTGAATTACTTAGGTCTAAGGAACCTGTAAAAAGCTAAGTATATGGCAGCTTTTAAAGTTTGATTGGTTCTTGGTTTGAATGGTGAAGTGTCCAAGATATCTGATAGATTCCTGAATAAGTTCCCATTTACTGACAATCTCTGAGGTGTTTGTGGTGTACTGCACCTCTGGATTTCTTTTAATATTTTAATTTGATAAGAGGATAAGACAGTTTGTTTGTCTGGAAATAGTGTGAGCATGTGATGTTGTAACCTTGTGAGATAAAATTTGATTGTGTTGTAAGACAGTTGTAATTTAAGGTGGCAAAGGGAAGTGAAAGCCACTAAAGATTCCATGGAGAAAGCGTCTACCACATGAAATTCTTTAGTAAATCTCATGAAAATATTTAAAGCTCTTTTGTATGACTGTTTCGTGTTGTCAGATAAAGCGTACTGAGCCAGCACTCTGCCATGCGCCAAGAGTTGGCCTAATCCATGATGCGGTCTAGAAACAGAGCGGCTGGAGTTGCTATTGGTGAGGCACTGGGGTATAGTTGGAGGAATTCCTGAAAACGGAGGCAAGATAAATGGTCAGCTGCCTTGTTGTGAATACCGGGGACATGTGTACACAAGATAAAGAATTGATGAGTTGCTGCTAACCAAGTTAAGCATCTAACGAAACTCAGGATAACGAGAGAAGGGGAACGACTTATTAATGATATGACATGCCACCTTGTCAGAAAAACATTGTACAGTTTGTCCAGACCAGGAGAGTCCCCAAGGCTGCTGCTGCGGCCACAACAGGATAAATGTCAAATCATGCTCAAGTCAGATTAAAGGCTTCCAGTGCTTCGGTTTCGGATGGCCAACAGTCCCACAGCCATTGGTCACCACAAATTGCTACAAAGCCGGTGGAAGCCACTGCATCTGACCCGAGCATTGGGGAATTGTTGGAAATAGGAGGGATGAACAACATAGACTTCCCATATCATTGACATAGGAATTTCTGCCACATCCATAAATCTGCTGTGGCCTGGTAATCAAGGGAAACCCTACTGTACTCTGATGGAAGACCTGGCAATAAACCGAGAAGTCTGGAAATGAGTGACGTGCCCTGAGCGATGATTCTCATTGCAAAATTAAACAACCCGAGTAGTACTAGAGACCATATCTCCAGAAGGATATTGATACCTTAGAGAGGGTTCAAAGAAGGGCTACTAAACTGGTTCATGGATTGCGGGATAAAACTTACCAGGAAAGGTTAAAGGATCTTAACATGTATAGCTTGGAGGAAAGACGAGACAGGGGGGATATGATAGAAACATTTAAATACATAAAGGGAATCAACACAGTAAGGAGACTATATTTAAAAGAAGAAAAACTACCACAACAAGAGGACATAGTTTTAAATTAGAGGGGCAAAGGTTTAAAAATAATATCAGGAAGTATTACTTTACTGAGAGGGTAGTGGATGCAGAAGTGGTAGAGGTTAACACAGTAAAGGAGTTTAAGCATGCGTGGGATAGGCATAAGGCTATCCTAACTATAAGATAAAGCCAGGGACTAACGAAAGTATTTAGAAAATTGGGCAGACTAGATGGGCCAAATGGTTCTTATCTGCCGTCACATTCTATGTTTCTATGATTGTAATTCCTTACAATTGCAAGAGCCCAGTCGCAAGTAATCATCAATACACGCTAGGATACGTTCAATTTTCTCCCTTTGCAAGCTTGATTCCATAGCTACTGAGTCAAGTTGAATGCCAAGAAAACGGACTATGGTGTCGGGATCCTCTGTTTTGGAAGGAGAAACTGGGACACCTAAACTCTCAAACAGCTATATGGCATCCCGTAGACTATGTGGCTGATTAGCATTACTCTCTATGGTGAGAAAATTGTCTAAATAATGGAGTACTGATGGACATCTGCATGAGTTAAGGAGTAACTAGCATAAGACTTCGGCAAAAGTATCAAAAAAGTTTGGGCTACTTTTTGAACCAAACGTTAGCCTATTGAAAAAATAATACTGGTCTTTCCACTTAATACCATGTAGATGCCATAAAGAGGGGGTGAATTGGGAGTAACTTGAAGGAATTAACAATGTCGGTCTTGCTCAACCATGCCCCAACACCGGCTGATATGATAGCTTGAACGGCATTGTCTATTGTGGTATATTGCAGAGAGAACTCTTCGGATGGAATTAAAGAATTTAAACTGGGTATGGTGGAGGAGTGAGGTGCGGAAATATCTATAATCAGTCTAGTTTAAGGAGTGTTTCCCTATAACAACACCTATTGGATTTGTCTGCCAGTTAGAAAAGGGCGGTGTGGGAAAGGGGCCTAGGATAATCCCTTGATCCAATTTGTGTAGTAACACTGTATCTACTGAAGCTGGGTCATTAATAGCTGACTGCAAATTTTTACATTCCACAATACCAGTAGGTATGGCCAAAATGCCAGTGTGGAAACCATCCGAAAACCCTGAAACCAAGAAATCCACTAATTGTGGGGATGGGTGTGAAGCTAACAGTTGAGACAACTTAACAGATGTAAAATACAGTTTGGAATGTAGTTTATTGGGGTACAGAGCCTTAGAATGGGCTCAGAAACATTGTGTGCAGATATGTAATAACCTACGGGCACTGAACCCACAAGCACCCACGTTAAAATTGTTACATATTTGGGATTTGCCAAGGAACACAATTTGTCTGCCAAGTTTGTCTTTTATGACTTTCTCACATCTGGCTGGTAAACCAGGGGGTTGTTGGCTCGAAACTGGGGTGCTAGGGAGTGAAAGACCATCTCCCCGTTCCGGAACTTGCAACATACTAAAATGAGAATTGGAAATTAGGATCTCATTACATAGGGTACTGGCTGCTAATTAGTGCCAAGTTGTGAAAATATACACTACGTGGTGACAGGTGAGCCCCTTCTAATGCCAAGCGGTTTGAGAGGCTCTATGAGTTAGATCGAGGACCTATTTACGGAGCGTTGTGGCGGAATGTTGGCCTCTCAGTGACAGCTTAAAAGAAAATTAGAATTGGGAGTGACAAGTGAAGCCCTCTCTATGTAACTTGCGAGGCGGCTACCTATGTGTTGAAATGAGGGCCGAATACCTCCGAGTATGAGGATGGATGTTGGCCTCGCGGAACCACTAGTATGAGGCATAGAGGGCCTTAGAAGGCTAACTATAAAAACCTATTTCCCTAACAGCCAGTAATTCCTCTAGTCTAAAGGACTGATAAAACAGGGAAGTTCCCATATAAGCCAATAGGTGAACGTACCTATATGAACTGAAATTTAATTCATACACCAAAGGTTTAAAGGTTCAGTAGTTAGTAGTGCACCTAAAGGTATATGGAAGAGAGAATCATGTCTGAGTCAGAAAATGAAACAAACACAAAAGTAGCTCAAGGAGTAATGGGCCTACCTGGGCAATTAGACAGAACCCAATATGGAAGCTTCGTATTTCTCAGATCAAGACCTAACAAATTGTAGTAAAAGATATGTGGGCAACATCAGTGTGACAACCTCAAATCTACAATAACATAATGAGACATTCTATGACACATTGTATGCGAGTCTGTGTAGTGACAGATGACATGACTTATACCCAGACTACCAAAGTGGTTTGAAGTCAGTTTGTAACAACTATATCAGTTTAAGCGTATTTAACATGTAACAAGTCAAATCACATGCCTTCAGATTGGAACTAGTTAGGCTCCGAAAGACCCACAACCTAATTGTTTAAAGACCACAGTGTCATTTGAGAAGTAATACACCAACACACCGGTGTTGCCGCAGCGGTACTTAAACTTATAACTGTAAACAATATTCAAGTAGCGGTAGCAAACCATTAGTGATTAGGGGAAACATTCTGCAGTACTTAAACAACTGAGAAAGGAAGATTATCTGAAGTAAGTTTGATCATAATTAGCATAGAAGTAATATGCTGTATGGCCCTTAGAGTAATCTGGTATATTTTACTTAACCAAGCAACCGGGAAGTTTGTATACCAGGAGGGAGTGGGAAAAAGGAGTGTGGAAACCAACAATAAATATGCAGAGAGTCAGACCTATATCTTATTACAAATGCCTCTTAATCATGAGATACCCACGGCACTTTAAATAGCTGCAACTAAGTGTTGTCAATGAGTCAGTGCATTCTTGTAATGTAGCTGTTGTTTAACCACGTACCAATTACTAAGACACTTGGACTTCTGATTTGACCTCATGTTCATGAAATGCAGACCTGAAGAGCCTGAAGCAACAGATTAACATGAATGTGAATGTAAAGTTGTAGGAGATATAGTGCCTATAACAGACCACGTCAACCAACCATTCCGATTGGTAAAAGTAATCACAGTCAGAAAATAATTAAACATACATAAATCACAGTAATTGATACAAAGTGATATTGTAACAAGGCCACAAGGTGGCGATATTAACTTAGATATCTGACTGTTATACGAAAAGCCCTCCTAAATGAGGGGAATACAACCGAATGCCCAGCTCCAGAACTTAAGTGGAAGCATTGATATGAATAGAATGAAAGTGCCAAATGCGGCATGAAAATGCATATGAAATTGCCGTACACTTGGTAAAGGGTTAAAGTACCAAACTACTTGTTCAACTAAACAAAAAGACGATACGAGGCAAAGTTCAAAGATCGTTTTACACACCGCGCACCTGGTGTGTTCGTGGTGGGTCTAAGTGTGCTAACTCGGTACCGGGGAACCAGGAGAGTCTGAGGGTTCCCTATTGTCACATATTCATACGCACATAAAAATTTGGTTAATGACATTTACTGTCCTGACAGGAAAAGTTGTGCCGAGCAACATTACCGTCCTGATAGGAAAAGTTGTGCCGAGCAGCATCGTGCACATGGAAACCTGGCAATTGCCTTTGGGGTCAAAGGCCGGGTACAGACAATCGGATCCACAGGAGGGGTATTTAAACCCAATTCTCCTCTTGCTTCATGCCCATGGTAATCAG